CTAGGTTTTGACTTGCTATCTTAATTTTACTGGCCCACTCCTCAATAGTTTTCTTTGATACTGTTTTTGTTTCTTCTAATGCATATCTCAAGACTTCGAGTATTTGACTGTATAGTAAAAGTTCTTTAGTTGTAATTTTTTAAGAATTGTCAAGAGCTAAGTTTTTTGTTATAGTTTCTAAGTCACTTGGTTCTTTAGTTATAGATGTTTCTAGAATGCAATTTAATTTACTGCAGTTTAAGTATCTACGCAGTTTGTTACCTGTTCCTTGAACTTGCTAAATTAGGCTTTGTTTGTTGATTATCTCCATTTGATTACTTTATTCGTTTGACCTATTTTTGTATTTTTGTTGTTTGACTATCTATGCTCTAATTTAGTTTTGTACATAACTTGCTGTTTGTTGATTTTTTTTTTGCTGATTGTTGTATATTTTATATCTGGAATGTGGCTGCTTATTTGTTTTGTTGTTTACTAATTTGATTGATTATATGTGCTTCATGATTTTTCTGAAATAAAGTGATGCCCCACTTTTGTCAAAAAAAAACAGAAGAAAATTTTTCTAGTAACTAAATCAAAGTTTTCCAAATAATTTGGTTTTAATAGAAGTAATTTTTATATTAAATTAAAGAAAAACTATATTGAATAGATAAAATCTATAGCCTTTTTAGTACTTTTAAGAAGAACCAGCCAAGTTGATTAGTTTGTACAGATCGTAAATGAAAAATAAACAAAATTTGATTACTCTTTATTCAGGTTGCCAACTTTGCACTAGCAATCAGAACAAATTTAGCTACTTGTGATTTGAATTTCTGATAATACTAAGTCTAACAATATTAGATCCAATCTCTTTAAGAAAAGTTATATTATCAAAGAGTACTTATAATATTATTTTTAGTTTTTTGTCAATTTTGTTTGTTTTGATGATCTGCAGAAAAGAGTTGCCATTGATATTTTTGAAAAATCACTATAATAATATAGATTAAAGTATTTAAAACAACCAAATTTAATTACAAAATTAGTTATAATATTTATTATTTTTAACAGCACACAGATTCAAAATAATATTTTCCCAGAAATTTAAATATCTTTTTTTGAAAAGATTCATAAAATTCTCATACTTATGAGCATCAATACATAATAATTTATCTAAAATTAGTAAAATTTAATAATTACTTAAATGAATATTATTATCACTTTTTCTTATTTATATCAAGAATTCGTTTTCAAAAAAACTACTAAACTATTTATTCACTAATCTCAGTTTGTTACATATTTTTTTCAAATGTTGATAATATGTGATTCCATAGTAATAATAAAAATATTTTGTGATATCTTTGAGAATATCATCATACAAACATTTTATTATATTTAAAACAATTTCATTTGAAAATTTAGGAAGGTCCATTTTTTTATTTTTTTTACTTTTTTTATTATATCTCATTTAAATAAATTTTACATTATTTAATACAGGATTATATTATGTAAATTTTTATATTATAAATTACACATATTACATAAATTTTTATATCAGAAATTACTGATTAAAAATGAATTTCCAAAATTAGATTTACTGATTTGGTAACTGATTCGATATATGGAAGGTTTTAATTAATAATTTACTTAAACAGAATTTAAATTAATATCTATTTATATAACTAGAAGGTTCTACAAAACCTAACCAATAGACTAACTAATGAACTAGTTCTACAAAACCTAACTAATAGACTAATTAATAGACTGGTTTCACAAAACCCAACCAATAAACTAACTAATGGACTACTTCTTTCAATTAAAAATCCAAATTTTAAAAGTTGTTTTATAATTAACTGTGAATATGTTTTTAGTAAAAAATCAAATCATCAGCCAATCAGAAAACATAACTGCAAATATGTTTTCAGTAAAAAATCGAATAATTTAGTCATCAATTAATCAAAAATTGTAACTGTGAATATGTTTTCAGTAAAAATCAAATAGTTTGGTTATCGGTCAATCAGAAATTGTAACTGCGAATATGTTTTTAGTAAAAAATCAAATAGTTTAGTTATCAGTCAATCAGAAATTGTAACTGCGAATATGTTTTTAGTAAAAAATCGAATAGTTTAATTATCAAGATGAAACTCTAATTGACTCAGATTTTTTACAAAAGTGATTCAGATTTTTTGCAAAAGAAGTTTGATATTATTTGATATGATTGGATAAAACTCCAATCAACTCAGATTTTTTGCAAAAATGATTCAGATTTTTGCAAAAGAAATTTGATATTATTTGATATGATTGAATGAAACTCCAATCGACTCAGATTTTTTGCAAAAGTGGTTTAGATTTTTTGCAAAAGAAGTTTGATATTACTTGATATAATTAGATGAAACTCCAATCGACTTAGATATTTTGCAAAAGTGATTCAGATTTTTTACAAAAAAAGTTTGATATTACTTGATATAATTGGATGAAACTCTAATCAACTCAGATTTTTTGCAAAAATAATTCAGATTTTTTACAAAAGAAGTTTGATATTACTTGATATGATTGGATGAAACTCCAATCGACTCAGATTTTTTACAAAAGTAATTCAGATTTTTCACAAAAAAAGTTTGGATGATATCGATATTTAAGTATTTATTTATTATTATTTAAAAAAATTTTACATTTGCCAGAAATATTAATAGAATTATCAATACTAATATTAATATTACTATCTTTATCTAATTCAATATTATCGATTATATTGATAATTTTTTCCTGTTTTTGTTTTTTAGTAGGATTCTTGATTTCTTCAAATTTTTTTTTCAATGGTATTAAAGCTTAGCCAGTTTCAATAATTTCTTTAATTTCATTAATAGTATTATCATTAACTTCATCTTGAACAATCGCATAATATTTATTACTATTATATGATAAAATTTCTTGAATGTTATTTTGAGTAGTAATAATATTTGGTTTTTCTTTTTCTTTTCTTTGAATATGATTAATTTCTTTAATGTTTTTGAATCTCTTTTTTTGTTTTTCTAAAATTTTCTGATAATCAGTTTTATGATATTTTGCAAAATGCTTTTTCAAATTAGTGACTAATACTTTAATTTTATAAGAAGAATTGCAAATATCACATTTAAGTTTAGTATTTTTGATATTAGGATGAAAATAATTTCAAATTTCATGAGTGTTTCTTATTTTGAGTTGGTGATTAATTTTTTTAATGATCCTTTTTTATAATTAATTTATAATATCGAATTTGGAATATGTAATCGATTTTATTTTTTAATCATTACAAAATACTGATTTATTTTTACAAATCAGTATATTTACTAATTAGAATTAAACAATTTTAATAATTTCTATATCAGAAATTACAGATTTGGTTATATTATTTAATATGATCGAATTTCCAAATTAGATTTACTGATTTAGACACAATGTTCGAATTTCGATATAAAGAAATTTCTAATTAATAATTATTTGAAAAGGAAACAAGAGGAACCAATTAAAATCATAAATAACATTTTAAGGTTTGATATTTAAATTCTTGTGACCAATTTTTATACTTAAAAGAAAATTAATTATTGATAGATAACCAATTCAAATCTATAAAATTACTGATTTAAATTCCTGTTTAGTACAAATTACTGATGAAAAAACTAAATTCCAAATCAGAAATATATAAATTTAGCATTCATATTAATTAATTAATGTCTATAAGATAAAATTAAAAAACTTAGTTTTTTTTTTCCTCTTCAAACATTTATAAAAGACTAAAAAATTCACTCTACTTGGACTTCAGAATCATAATGATTTGCCTAAATATCACTAAGTTTAGCTTCAGATATTTAAAAATAATTAAAAAACAATTACTTTAAAAATGAATAGAGATGTAATCACACATTTTAAACATTTCTCTTCAATAAAATACAAGATCATGAGTGAATTATTTATGATTCAAAATAGTGTGTCTTGGTGCAACATCGATTTTGATCGATCTTATGTTCATATCTACAAGCAACGTAAACCAAAAGAAAAATTCAATCTTTTTGAACATGTAATAGAAGTAAAATTAAAAGATTTTTTATTTGCAAATATAAAAAAAATCATAAATTTTATGAACATCTTTGGCAATATGATTCTTGTAATTATAAAAATAATTATTATCCTTTTAGAATGTGAAGTAATTATTTTAAGCTTCTTCAGAATGTTGACAAAAATTTAGATTATTCAGAAAAGTTGGTTCATGTTAATTCTAAAGGATAATTAATGTGAATGAAAAAGTTATTATCTAGGTATAAACCAGATTATGAGATTTGGTTTTGAATCAAAAGTTTCAATTATACTAATATACAAATTTACAAGAACGAAATGAAATTATTAAATAAATTCAAAAAATATATTAATAAGAAAAAGATTAAAAATAAACAAGGTAAAAATAATTTCAAAAGCAAAAAACAATCAAAAAAGAAAAATACTAGGAAAGGTAAACAAGATGAAAATAATTTTGAAAGCAAAAATCAGAGAAAGAAATTGCTGTTGAAATTATAACTTTGATTGATTCTTGATTACAAATATTTGAAGAATATAAACTTTAATCTCCCAAGTATACTCTCAAATTTCCTATATATATTCCTTAATTACCATCTACTTAGTCTAGAGCTGAGTAGAATTTTTCTTATATAACTTTGATTTAATCATTGTAATATCCAAAATATATTAATTAATCAATTCTATTTTTATTAAACTTTTCAAATTATTTTTAAAATATTTTATTGATTTTATTAAATCAAATCAACATTTAATTGAAAACACAAGACAACATTCATCAGTTCCATATAATTATTCTATAACAGTTATCAAAAACACAACACAATGCCTATTAGTTCTATCATTTAATTATTCTTCAATAGAAATTCTATCTTTTTATGATATTTTTATTAAAAAGTTAAATGAACTTAATTCTGTGAAAATGTTCACTAATTACAAATATCCTCTTAATAGAGGAGCATGTTGGAATTGTAAAAGAATAGGTTTTTCTCATACTTGTTGTGTAGCTTGTAAACAAAAATTTGAACAGTGTGATTGTTAATTTATTTGTAGACTTACATATCTAACACAATATAATAAACGTGAACATCCATGTCAATTTGCAAAATGTAGATACTTTACAAATGATTTAAATAATATTATTCATCAATGTAAAGGCAAGGTAGTTAAAAATAAAGTTTTTTTGTTTATAAATGAAAAAGATATTCAACTTTTCAATCTTAATAAACCTATTAATTGAATGTATTGTTTAAAATGTGATTCATATGATCATATTCCTTCTCATTGTTCTTAAACTTATTATTATTTGGATTGATATCTTGTAAAAATTTATTTTATTATTTAATAAATACTTCTAACTAGTACATTGGTACCAGTTAGAATTTTAATTACATAATTCTTATTTATCTAACTAATGCTAAAGAAATTAAATTGTATAAATAGATATTCGAGTACTTCAATTCAAACATCAGTTTACTAAAGATTATTTCAATATACAAAATTATTATTACAATTTTTTTCTGAACAAAACAAGTCAAACAAAAAACTTTCATTTGAATAATTTTGATTATTCGAAAGCACAAGAATTTTGTAATAAATATACTTCTTTGTTTGATCTATTACTTTTATTTTATCCAAAATTTATTACAAACAAGTATCAGTTGGAGACATTGTTCTGGATTTCTGTTAAGACATAGAATTTTTTACAACTCATTGCTTTCACTAATTCTGTTAAACCACCATTAGAAATTCTTTTAGAAGAAGATGAAGATGATCAATATAATTAAGTTGTATGACCAATACTATAAGAATTTAAAGAAATTAAAAAAACAATATTTCGAATTGGAGAGTTTTTCATGTGCTGTTGTTCAAAAATTTTATGATACTTACAAATGTTATTTAACCAATTTCTATCATATTCTTTTTACAATTTCACTAAGATTAATTCTGAAATGAAAATCAATAATTTGTTTATAATTGCCTATCTTGTTAATTTTAAAGTTAAATAAATTCATCTACTTAGTTTTGAAACCAAGTAAATTTTTTTCTACACAATTCTGAAAAATAAAATTACTTCATACATTACTTTAAAGTTTAAACATCAAGAAACTTATTAATATTGCAATTGACAAATATTCAGCAGTTGAAAAAACATCAGTTAGAGAAGCAATTGCAAATCAATATGATTATCAGTTTATTGATTTTGGGTTATTTTATCGATATGTTAGTTATTATCATAATGATTACTCAATTGACCAAATCAAGCAAATCTTCAATAAAGAACAGATATTAAAACTGATTAATTCTATTAAACATTTTGATGAAGAACAATATCGAGAATTAGGAATTAGAGCAGCTCAAATATCAACAAATAATAAATTACATGATATCATAAATAAAACAATTAGAAAAATAGTCAAGAATAAAGGATTTGTTGTAGTTGAACATGATATCACCACACTTTGTTTACCTAATGCTGAAGTAAAAATAATATTATTAGCAGATTTGAAAACTCGTGTAGCTTGATATTCTTACCAAACAAATTCAAAAGATTATACTAATATTTTTAACAATATTTTAGAACAAGATGTATTATCTTAACCATTAATTAAACAAGCATATAATGTCTCATATAAGATTGATACAACCAAATTAACATTATCTGAAGTTGTTGATATGATTTTAATTCAAGTTTTTAAAAAGATAC